GATGGAACGTGAAGCCACGAACCGAAAGCAACCCCTCAAACGAATTGGCATGTCAACTCAATATCAACCACTAAGAGAATCCCAAGACAACAAAGCGTCGAAACACAACAAAAGAAAAGTGCGACATGGCAGTACGAACAATGACCAGAACCCGCCCACTACATACTCAAATGTGTGGTAGCAATAACAGTGACTAACGCCTGCCCACACTTACTCGTAAGTAAGGTAGCATTGACGGCAATTAACACTCGTCCATAACATACAACTTTATAAGGTAGTATGATAGTATAAGGCACTAGTTCATAACCTACCCCAACCAGGTCAACCCCAAAAAAATTTATCAATACGAATGACATCAATGTCAGAAAAGATCATTACGAAAAATGCTACGGGAACCAAGCATCTTGTGAAAGTTAGGGTACCTAATCCCAAAACTCTGACAATAATGTCATAGGCACCGTTACGCTTAAGGCCTTAAATCCTTAATGCAAGTAGAGTCAGCAACTCCTACATTGTAAAACACCTTTATCAACAACCTCCGGTCACGAATCCAAAGCCTAACAAGTCTATGCCCTCAAGCCAATAGATCGGACTCTACGAAACCGAAAGACACTGTCTTAAATAAAATACTTAGGCATGCATACAAGTTGTATAAGCATGAAATACATTCAATATAACATTTATATAAACCTAAAACATCCCTTACCTCACTTTGAGATGAAATCTCAAATCCCCACCGAAAGGAAATCGCTCCAAATCCGACAATACTTCTAGGTTATGTCGGGGACTACGAGGGAAGCAACTTTAACCCTTGAGGCACCATGAAAATCCAAGCCCGAACTCAAAAATAGTCAAAAATGGTTTCTAATAAAGGGGAAAGGTTCGCCTCGTCAAGGCCTATGATAAACACTAAGGTACTACGGCATTTTATAAAGGGGAAGGAGGTCGATTTGAGAGAAGAAGGATGGCAGCCCCCTTGGGCAACCATGGCTGATTTACCGTAGTGTGAGAAGAAGAAGAAACCCATGTTTTAATTTTATAACCCCCTATTTATAGTAAAACCCTAAAAGTGCCCCGAAAGGGCCTCGCCAGGTCCGGAAAAGTGGAATTTGTGTAGACGCGCTCAAACGGTAAAACACCCTGAATGAAAAAGAACCGACATGAAAAAAAAAAAAAACAACGGAAGAAACGACATCAAAAATCGAGTCCCGTGCAGAGAGATATGCCCAGAACAAGTTCGGCAGCAACCGGCTCTGAAAACCTTAAAACTGGGGAAAAACGACTAGAAGGAAAATCTAAAAGTACACGACTCATGATGAGTGCTCAAATGTGACATATTTTAGCACCTAAGTTAGGGTATCTTAGTCAATTCATTTATCTTATTTTCATGTCTTAGTACTTATTTGTGTTTTTGCCTATTTCAGGTCAATAAAGTTCAAACAGGCTAATAAAAGCCATTTAGCTCAATTTTGGAGCTAAGGAGTAAAGTTGGAAAGAAGCCAAGAAAATTGCACCAGAGGAACTTCGATCGATTGAAAGAAGTCCCGATCGATCGAATTCGGCTACAATCGATTGAAATAAGGCGGTGCCAGCTTATCAAAGTGGATAGGGCCGAGAAGATATTTTGCTGACACGTCAGCTTCGATCGATCGAAGATAAGTGTTTGATCGATCAAGAATCTTTGATCGATCGAGATGACTGTTGGCAGTGTGTTGTCTAATTCTCGAGCACACCGAACTCTACCTAATTTGTGTAGCAGCGAATTTCCTTCAATCATAGGCTGTATTTCTGACTTGGTGCCTACTCAAAGAGGTTTGTAATAGATTAATTGAACCATATTGTAAAGAATATCATAGAGTAGATTTTTTAAAAAATATAGAAATAGTTTTCTCTCTAGAACTAGGGTTTTTGGAAAAAAAGTAAGGATGAGGATGATGTTGCCAACCTCCAAGCTAGCCCTTGAGGGTTCCATGACCACTACAATGAGTGGTTAAATCCTTCTCTTGGGGCCAGAGATAGCCCTTAGGCTTGCTTCCTAAACCTAGATTTTGTGTATGATTTTTACTTGATTTGTATGGATTAATGCTTTCAATTGATCATTTAATTCTATCCATATGTCTATGTATGCTAGAATGAATGTTCATGTGTTTTTCTCTAGATTTAATGAAATTGATGCATATCTATGTGTATTGATGTTGTTAATCTAGTGATGGTCAAGGTATAGTGCTAAATTGAAGATTCTTGAGGTTTATTTGATGGTTCATACTTGTTTCTTGATGGATTGTGTCACACCCTTAGTTTAATTAGTTTAACTTTCATGTCACTAGCTTAGTTGTAGTGTAATTGCTTTAATTTCTTAGATAGGTGGACAATCCATTCTTGTTGTTTGATGTTCCATACTCATGAGTGCAAATAGTACATTTCTATAGAATATTGTGTATGCACTAATTGTGGTTTAATTGAATGGTTTTTGGTCTCATTTGATAGGTTGTGTTATTCACTAGATTGACTAGACAATCTATGCTTATTTGCCATCCATTATGCATTGTTTGCAATTGGTGACACACACACACATTTTACAACTTGAATTTCCCTATTAATTTATAATTGCTAGTGTTTGGTGAAGTGAAGCTTAGTACTGAACTCTAAGCCCTAAGACCTCTCTCTCATATATCTTTCCCTAATTTCTAGATTGTTACTCTCTGGCATTGTTTTAATTGAACCATAGTTTAATCAAATCAAATTCGTGTTTTAATCATTCGACCTATTACTCCATCATTGATTCCAAAATACCATTCATTTCCCTTGAACGATCCTTACTCGCTCTAGCTACATTAATAGTTAGTAGTGGTAGTGGCATTCTATAAATTTAAACTTAGCCACACTTTACAACACCAATTTGGTGGTGCACATGACCTCCGACTACCAACTTGATGAAATGTGAAAATGAATCCTGTATGAGGATCCTAGCTCAAAGTGAGGCATTTTGCAATAATTTTCGTTAATTGTATAATGGCCTTTTCAAAAGAGATAACTGCAAAACTGCTCAGAATGAAAATATCTTCCAAAAGATATTTTCTTAAAAACCCCAAACAAAAATATCTCCAAAATATATTTATGAAAAACACCCCAAGAAACATCAATGTTTCTGAAGAATCATTTCATCCACGCCCCTACGGGAGAAAGAAACAACCGGCGAGCTTTTCTCTAAAAGTAAAGCTATGCGTTTTGAGGAAATCAACTGGAATGAAAACTTGTGAAGTCAAAACTTAACTCCGAACACGGAAAGTGAGGTTCTGCCAACAAAGTGACAAACGGGAAAATGACGAAAAGTGTATAGTGTCCTAAAAATGAAAATGCGAAAATGACTCGGTCCTTAAAGGAAGTTGTCAATCTAAAGGAAAGAGTATCGGAAACCATTTTCGAGCACTCGAGACGACACTAAGTAACGAGTAACCAAACTCAGAAAAGAAAAAAAAAACACAACGGAAAAAATTTATCTGTAAAAATCTGAGAAAAAGGAAAGGAAGGAAAATAATCGGGTCATTACAGGTTTGATCTTCAAAGTGGAAGACCAAATCTTCAAGGGAAAGGGTTCAAAAATGGAATGTGGAGGCTAGGGTTATAAGGTCCAACAATGGTGGCTAGAGAGGGTTTGTGAGGAAGAAGGAAAGTTAGTGGAGAAATGTGTATTTCTCCACTAACTAAGGGCTTTGATGGCCAAACACACATACACACCTACACTACCTTTCTCACACACATATGGAACACCAAATCTAGGCCTTCCACTTGTCAACAAATTAGGCCTCTTCACAAGATCACATCCTAGGTCTACACTTTTCACCATCTTAAGCCTCCTCACAAGTTGAACAACGGGCGATCAGAATTTTTACCCCTTTTCTCTCTAGAATAGGCGATTAGGGTTGTTTTAGTTCTCCTATTCATGTGACGATGGCAACCACCATGGAGGAGGCCCAGACCTCCTCCTTACAGCCGGCATTTGCTTCTAGCCGGAATTCGTCTCCTATACATCCCACATATAGTAGTCTCTTTAATGATTCAACATCCTCGTCATTCAAAAACTTGAAATATCACATGGAATGTCACGGGAAGAAGGTTTCAATCATTGAAGCAGATGTGGCGGATGAAGTTGCATATTGGAAATCGTCAGTTGTTGGATATGTTATGGGAAAGAAGCCCTATTATCCATACTTCAAAGCATTTGTAGCGAAGTACTGGGCTAAAGATTTCATGTTGGTGAGATTTCCTAATGAAAGTGACATATAAACTGTGTTATCTAGAATACACACATTCAAAGGCCACCCAATCATTTTGAAAAAATGGGATAAGAATGTTAATCTAGTGAAAGAAGTGATGGAAACAATTCCGGTGTGGCTTCAAATTTTTGACTTACCTGTTCATTGCCGGAATGAAAGTTCTATATCCAAACTTTGTTCCTCGTTTGCCAATCCAATTTATATGGATGATCCTGAGAATCATAGAGACAAAGGACAATTTGTTAGGGTAATGGTTGAAGTGGAGGTCAAGGGGGAATTACCCGAGTCCATGGTCATTGATATATATGGCTGTGATTGTACAGTAGGTCTCGAATATGAATGGAAGCCTACATTGTGTGGGATATGTAACCGAATTGACCATACTGAAGCACAATGCCCACAAAAGGTGTTACAGGTGTTGCAGGTTAAACCAAAGAAGGAGACTGAACAATGGGTGGTTAAACAGAAGGGTAAGATGGTGGAGTTAAAGGGTGTAGACCAAGTGGTTGATACTATTACTAGCAGAGAAATACAGAGTAACCCAACCAAGGAAACAACTATATCGAATAGTTTTGCTGTGCTTGAAGAAGCAGATGTAGAAAACGGGGCAGCTATGGAAGACAGTAGTCATAATGTGGAGGTTGAGGATTGAAAAAAGACGGAGATAGATCATCATGAAGATATATGGAAAAATCACTTGGGGATACACATGGGGATACGATAATGGCTGAGGTAGATGAGATATAGTATGTTATTCCCATTGCTGCTATACATGAGGATTTTCCTGAGTATACAGATGGTGCACAGGGCACTTGTTAAAAAATGATTGTGTTTGGGGAAAAACAAACTGATGATTTGGCTGATGCAAAACAGAATTTAACGGAGGTGGAAAACAGTGTTTGATGATGACTTGGAGAGTAACAGTCCAAAGGGTGTTGAAATTAAAGGTGGGGGTCAGTTTCTCGGTAGAGGAAAAAATTGCAGGTTCCTTCATCGGATAAAGTGACTCGAGCCAGCAGTGCTTCACTGCCTTCTCTTTCTCAATGTTAGGAGCTTGGAATGTTAAAGGCCTTAATAGGTCTCCAATGCAGAAGGAAGTAAAGCAATGGATAGCTGAAAATAAATTTGCTTTAGTGGTCCTTGTTGAAACTAGGGTTAAAGAGGGTAAGGCTAGTAGAATCCAGACTAAGTTATGCCCTCGGTGGTCTTGGTTGGCTAATTATAAGTCTCATTATTTGGGAAAAGTGTGGTTTGGCTAGGATTCTTCTATGTTTGACGTGGTTTTGCTTCAATATGTTATTTCAGGTTAAGCATAAAGTTTCTGGATGTTGCGTCTTTAGTACTGTTGTGTATGCTACTAATAGAGCTATGGATAGAAGCTTATTATGGGGGATGCTTAAGGTTCATGAAGCTAAAGTTACTGGTCCATGGATTGCTCTAGGTGATTGGAACATGGTTCGGGCTAATCATGGGAAGAAGGGAGGTAAACGTGTCTCTCAAATTTTATTAGATGAGTTTAATGGGGCTATTTATGACATTAAAATGGAAGATTTACCAACGAATAATGGTGATTGGTCTTGGTGTAATAAGCAAGGAGTTCAAACTAGAATTAATGCTAAATTGGACAGAGTTCTAGTTAATTCAGCTTGGTTGCATTCCTTTACTGACTCTAAAGTGTATTTAATTGCTGCTTTTCTGTATGATCATTATGGTATGGATGTTCATCTGAATTTTGTGAGCTCTCTTAGACCTAAACCTTTTAAGTTTCTAAAAATTTGGTGTATGCAAGAGGAGGTTAAGGAGGTGGTGGCTACATCTTGGAACATTGGTGTCTCTGGAAGTCCTTTACATGTTTTACAGAAAAAATTGAGAGAGGTAAAGAAGGCTGTGAAAGAATGGAATGGCAAGAGAGGAATGCTATCAGATCAAGTTCAAATTGCTAGAGGGAATCTGATTAAAATCCAGATGGATTTGATGAAGGAGCCATTTAATTCAAATTTAATTAGTCAGGAAAAAGATGCCAGTGGTACTCTTCAACATCAGTTGGAGTTAGAAGAAATATTGTGGGCTCAGAAGTCTAGGGTTAAGTGGCTTAAAGAGGGAGACAAATGCACTTCTTTTTTCTATAATTTGGTGAAGCAGAGAAGATGTCACAATGCTATTACAGCCTTGGAGAATACCAAAGGGGAGAAATCTAATGACCCTAAAGTTATTAAGGAATGGTTAGTAGAATATTATACTGACCTATACAATGATGTGGGAGGGGTGAATGAGGAAATTCTGGAGCCTAGAAAAAGGCTAACTCAAGCTGAAGGTATATCTGCTGAGGAAATTAAAGCTGTGGTTATGCAGTTTAGTCCTGATAAAGCCCCGGCTTTCCAGCTAGATTTTTTCAAAAATACTGGGGGATTGTAGGTCCAGAGCTGGTGAATGGTGTTGCTTACTTTTTCTCTACAAGCATGTTACCTAAATGAGTGAATTCTACTTTCGTTACTCTTATACCTAAGAGTAATCATAGGGATAAGATCAGCGATTATAGACCCATTGCGTTGTGTAATATCATATACAAGATTATATCCAAAATTTTGGCTAACAGGCTCAGTAGTGTTCTTCCAAATTTGATTGGGCCTGAGCAGTCTGCATTTATTAAAGGTAGGAGATTGCATGATAATTTTTGGTTGATATCTGATTTAGTAAAAAAATTTGGTAGGAAAAATGGTGATCCAACTATTGCTCTGAAAATTGATCTTAAAAAGGCCTATGATTCAGTGGATTGGGGGTTTCTACAGAAGGTTTTATTGAGTTTTGGGTTCAGTGAGAAGTGGATTAGTTGGGTTATAGAGTGCACTTCTACAACCAATTTTTCTATTCTTTGTAATGGAGTGCCTGCAGGTTTTTTTTCAGCTTCTAAAGGCCTCAGACAAGGATGTCCCTTGTCTCCACTCTTGTTTGCTTTTGTCACTGAATATTTCTCCAACCTTATTGTTAAAGCTATTGAGGAGGGGAAGATTAAGAGGTGTAAGGTTGTTCTCAAGACAGGGCTGAGCATTTCCCATGCTTTTTATGCTGATGATTTGGTTATGGTGGTGAAGGCTGATGTGAGTACTTTAAAAGGTGTTGAAGAAGTCCTTCAGAGATTTAAAATTAGTGCTGGGCTTCAGGTTAATAAAGATAAAAGCTCCATCATTTTTTCAAAAGCAGTGAGAGGAAGAAGAAGATTAGCAAGAATTCTGAATTTTCAAGTTGAATCTTTCCTTTTCAGGTATCTTGGATTACCTTTATCTAATAATTTACTTAGGAGTGGTGATTACAGAATGCTTCTTGACAAGGTTGATGCTCGATTAAGACACTGGAATACTATTAATCTCTCTTTGGCAGGAAGGTTAGAGCTAATCAAGTCAGTTTTGTTTTCATATCTGTATCATTGGTTGTTTGGCTTCAAAATTCCTTGGGAAGTTAAGAATATGCTGGAAAGAAGGTTTAAGAAATTTTTGTGGAGTGGTAAACAAGAGATTAGAAAGATGTCTCAATTGAAGTGGAGTAAAGTCACATTACCTGTTGGGGAGGGTGGTTTCAATATTAGGAGAATTATTGACATTGATCGTGCAACAAAAATGAATATGTGTTGGGACTTTATTCAGAAAAAAAGGATAAATTATGGATTCAATGGTTGCAAGCAGTTTATTTAAATAAAACTGTGTTCTGGTTGGTGGTTCAAAAAGCTACAGATTCTGATGTTTGGAAACATATTCTGGGGATGAGGGATTTGATCCTTGATAAGGCCTTGTTTCAGGTTGGTGATGGCAATCATTTTAAACTTCTTATTGATCCCTGGTGTAATGATCACTCTCTCATTCAGCTGTTTGGAGCTGCTAGGTTCAGAGGGTTGGATTGGCAGACAAAACTAGCTTCTATTATTGATCATGTAGTATGGAGTCTTACTGAAAATCTTGAATTTACTCAGAATGTCATTCAGCAAGTGATTATTCATGAGGGTTCAGATCAAATTAAGTGGAAAGATGGGTAGTTCACTCTGAAAGCAGCATGGAATAGTTGTAGATCTTCAGCTCAAATTGTGAAATGGCCAGGTTTAATTTGGAAAAAATGCAGGCCCAGAGTCGCTATATGTGATGTTATTATTCTTCACAATAAAAATTTGTCTTTTGTGAATCTACAAAAAAGAGGGTCACAACTGGTCTCGGTCTGTCATAATTGTTATGCAGGAGCTGATACTAATGATCATTTATTTGCCTCTTATGATTTTGCTTCAAGGATTTGGAGAGAGATTTTTGAGCTGGTTCACATACAATGTTCTAGATTTTTGTCTTTGAATTAAGTGGTGGAGTGGTTTACTCAGTATACTGTGATAAATCTACCAAAGCCAACATTCTAAGTGGTATTTTTGCAGTAACAATTTGGAAAATTTGGTCTGTAAGGAATAATGTGTTACATAGTGGGATTCAAGATCAACCTACTCAGGTGGTGCAAGTTATTATTTGGGATGTAATTACATACCTGAATATTAGTCTTGTTGATTTTTTGATAATTTTTGGAGGTTGAACTTTTCCTTTGAAGTGGAGGTTATATGGTAGTAACGCCCAGGTTCAGGTTCTTAAGTTCATGGTTTTGTTCAATCTTGGGGAAGTAATTTGAGAGTTTGTATACACATGCATTGCTGACAGAATTGTTCTTTCTCTCAAGTTTAGTATTCTGATTGTTTGCAGTTTGACAGCAGATTTCTGAGGATTGTTTGTGTTGTGTTGTCAGATTGGTTTTTCTCGAAATTCAAGTCTCTTTGACAGACTGGTTGAGGCTTGGAGAAGCGGATGTTTTGTTTCTCTCCTTGGGGTTCTTGGCTAAATCAAGTTGAGCAGGGCAGTTTATGCTCTTGTGTTTATTTGTTTTTGCTTTATTTCTCTAAGGTTTTGTTGTTTTATTTTTATTTTTAACGGTATTTGGACTTAGTTCAATTACCTTATCTGTATTGGAGTTTATTCTCCTATTGTAATTGTACTATTTTGAAAATTCTATAAAAAAATCCCATTCAAAAAAAAAAAAAAAAAAAAAAAAAAAAAAAAGGCCTCCTCACAAGGCTTAATCTAAGCCCTACACTTGTCAATACCACAAGCCACCAAGTGTTCCAACCAAAGGCCAACAAGTGGGTGAATCCCCTCCCTCCACATATGTAATACCCCTAATTTTAAAAGGAAAGTCTCGGCATTTAATTTATTATTTTATTGCATTTTTAATTGATTAAATGATTTATTTGATTACGTGGCTATTTTTTTTTGTTTTATTGCATTTTTAATTGATTAAATGATTTATTTGATTACGTGGCTATTTGTTTATGTATTTTTAATCGAATTATTTGTTTAAATTAATTTATATGCTTAAATGTTATTTTAATTAATTATTGGTATGAATTAATTTGTTTAAATGCTAAGTGATGATGTGTATTTATTTGTTTACATGCTATGTGTTTATTTGTATTTAAATTATTTGTTTTATTTTATTTTATTTTAAAAGGAGTTGCATATGGATAGTAGTAATGAACGAACCATTTAGGTTCATGGACTACTTGGGTAGGAGGTTTAATGGGTAGGGATATTTACCCATGAATAGTTGTATTTATATATTTATGATAATATATATATATAGGGATAGTTTTAATAATTACTATTATTATTATTATTATTTTTATGAAAAGTTAGAATTATATGTATTGTTATTATTATTTTATGGAAAGTTAGAATTATATGTATTGTTATTATTCTTTTTATGGAAAGTTAGAATTATATGTATTATAATTAAATATATTATATACATATATGTAACAGATTTGGTATATTTCTATTTCTATTTTCTATTTTCCTTTTCCTTTATTTTAATTAAGGTAAGTTGGATTGGGAATAGGATTTTATATTTTATAAGTTGGAATGGGAATATGATTTTATAGTTATCTATATATATAGGTATTGAGGGTTTGTAAAAAGGTTAGAAAACTCTATTCACGTATAAAATATAAGAGAGAGTTTTAGAGAGAGAAAGAAGAAGGTTTTGGCAAAGAAGAAGGCTAAAATAAGGAAGAAGGAGGCTTAGATTTATTTGTATGATTTTTACTTGATTAGATGATGTGTAGTTATTTGGTAATTAATTGTTAGGAATTAAATGATTTAAATGTTTGTTTCATTTCATTTTATTTTAACGGTTATGGATAGTAGTGATGGACCAACATAATAGGTCACATGGGCTACTTGGATAGGAGGTTTAATGGGTATGGATATTACCCATTGATAGTGATACATATATATCTGTGTATATATGTATATAGGGTTATTATATTTATTAATTATCATTAATAATTAATATTATTAATAACTTTAGTTAGATATGTATATTATATATATATATATATATATATATATATATATATATATATTTACGTTGGTTGGTTTTATAGTAGTATTATTATTACTATAGTACTATTTTATTTTCCTTTCTTAATCATTAAGTCAGAGAATTGGTTTGCTACTAGGATTTAATTAGGGTTTTATATTTGTAATATATATATATATAACTATAGTCTGGAGGAGGCTGTGATTTTATACGTATTATATATTTTAGCATATAGAGAGAAGGAGAGACTTACAGAGAGCGAGAAAGAGAGAGCCGAGAGTTTAGAGAGAGAGAGAAAGAAAGGTGCGGCCAAGGGAGCTTAAGGCCGAACTCAGGGAAAAGAAAGGAGGGTCTGTGCGTGGGCTAGCACGGAGTAGCAGAGAGGTTTGACGGCAGCGCAAGTCATCAGAAAATCAGAGAAGAAGGAGATTTGAGGTTTTTGTTCCGAAACCTTAAAAGGCAAGTTCTTCTCTTACTCTCTCCCTTTGATCTGTGTTTCTATACATAACTAAGAAATTCCAGGGGCTTAAACAACATAATTGATTAATTATGCATGTTTGAATCGGATTAGAACAGAGGATTTTTATATCTTATTCATATGTTCTTGATTTCTTTATTCTTAAATTTTTGATGCATGAACTGTTGTTTAAGTTAAATCTTTGTATGTTAAAACACTTAAAATAATTTACTATGGACGTATGGGACTTAAATTGGAGCTTTGGACTCTTAACTATGGAGTTTTTAGGGTTTACAGAAGCTAAACCAATGAAGGAGACGAAGTCCAGGCGAATAGAGCTGACTCAGTTGCAACTGAGTCGACTCAATTGCTAACCTAACTAACTCGGTTGGAACTGAGTCGACTGAGTTAGGGCCTTAGGAAGAATAGAGCCGACTCGGTTGGTAACCGAGTTGACTCAATTGGTAATCGAGCCGTCTCGGTGGCAACCGAGCCGACTCGGTTGGGCTGCAACTTGGGTTTTTTAGTTTTAATGGCCAAAATTGTTTTAAACTAGATTTAATCCTTACGGATGGGTTTAATGGACTTGGGAAGATCCTAGAATGCATAATATACCTATATATGCTAAGGAGGTGGATAATTCGGAAGTTAAATAACCTATATGTTGTTTAAATTGGATGAATGGATTAATTTAATTGCTTTAACAATTGAAATTAATGTTTAAATGGTTTGTAAACAATGTTTATGAACCTTTATAATGTTTATCTGAGATGTAGGTTAATTACTTGGAAGGTAAGTTGTATTTGCCTAAATAAATACAATATTTATCTATATGATGTGTATCATTTTATCTCTGGATTAATTGATGTACTTTACTATCTGTTGCATAATTTATTGGACTGTATGGTTTAATGCACCGATATGGGACGGTGGCATTCTAAGGACGGATTAACCAAATAAGTTAAGTCTTACCTATTTATTTATAAGTGAATAGATTAACCAAAGAGTTAAGTTCTCCTTATTCGTGTCAGGCCACTATATTAGATGGATGACATTTATTTTATGCTTATACAGATCTTTATATATATGATTATGATGCTATGATATAAGCTTGAGTCTCAAGATTGCGTATATTACCAGGGATGTGTAGCTAGATATAATGCACTTGTGTACCTTAGTAGATCTAAGTACTCATGCTCACTATATGTGCATTTTGCATGTTGCCTACTATTCAGGTTGAGACAACCTTATAGTCTAGTGAGATTCCTTTAGTGTATATATATATATATAAATGGATTACTTAGCTATTGTTGAGTTGACTAGGGTGTATACGTGTATCGAGTCTCTGTTTGGATTATAGTAGAGTAGAACTTGTTCGTGGACCTGACCCACTATTATTTTTTATGTGTTCGACAGTTCCAATCTTAGAGCTTGTTCGTGCTGAGCAGAGACAGTTATTCACTCTTCCGACTACGTAGAACTCTTCTTCATGTTTTAGTTTTGGATTTAATTTCAATTCAGTTATTTTTCCAGTTGGGTTATTATTAGGAGTCCACTAAATGGATTCCCGAGTTGTAATGATATTGGAGGTTTTGGATATTTCATTTGGAGGATTATTTAATTATTCAATTAAGGAGTTATTATTTAGTTCTCATTCCACATATTTATTTATTCTTATTTTCTTTTTGTACTCAATGCTTGTTTATTACTTAATTGTTTGATATTCCCTCGGGTTTGGGCTTGGGCTTGATCAACCCATGTCTCAGAGTCGAGGGGTATCACAGTGTTTTACCAGAATCTACGTCTAAAGCCTAATGAACATGGAGTACTACTTTTATACATTGATGGTACTATGTTCCGAATTGATCCATGGACTACTGCTACTGTTATGGGATGTTCACATCAATGCCCTGCCAAATTGGAGTCAGATTTCACTCCTATACCAGATGATCTCACTACTACTCCGATGATTAATCGCCTTTGTGCTGGCATTTTTTTGGGTCCAAAGAATAACTCAACATCCAAGTAAGCCGTGCCATTACATCTATGGTTCACTGATGTCCTTCTTGCTCATAATGTGTATACCCTATTAGTCATCGGTTTGAACGCTAGTAAGATTTTTTGTGTGCTTTATATGCTATACATTTTGGCCATTATGTGTCTTTTCTAACATTCATCTGGGGGCAAATTAAAAAGTTTTATGATGCCGTGATCAAGAAAAATCCAGTGACAAAGATTGGGCTTTTCCTTTCCCATTTTTTATTTATTGGTTTATTGACTTTGCTCACTTGGATATTTTAACATAATTTTGACATGGAAGTGTTAGCATGCTTTGATTAGTTTTGATATTGTTAAAGTTTAACTTGTTTAGAAGCATGACTTGCTTCATTTTGGACATGTAATATGAACTTAAGTGTCTTATTTTGATTCTACATTAACATATGTGTAATGAGGTCAAGGGCCAAACTCTTTTGATGTATTGAATATATGTTAAATTTTAGCCTATTTTACTTTCATGTCCTTATTATCTTGGGCATTTTGGTCATTTTAGGTTACATTTTAATTTTGGTTCAGACCATGGTTGATTAGAGGACTCGTTTTTAGGGGGGCTTGCTTCACAAACATTTTCCAAAAAATTTCGTTGTTGCTTTGAAAAACAGGTGTTTTTCAAAAATTTCACGGTTGTAGCAAATCCCATCACGATCGATTATGAATTTTATAACTAGTCGCAGATGGTTACGATCGATCGTACCTGTAATTTTTCATAACTGTTCATCGTTCGTAAATTTTTTGACCGATCGCCAATGTTACGACTGATCGCACTGGGAACCAAACCTTGCTTTTTTCACCGTTCGTTATTTTTACGATCGGTTGCAAATGTTGCGATCGATCGCATTGGGCATCATTTTGTCATGTTTTTTTGTAAAACTTTGGAAAAAATTTTCTTCTTCATTCTAACTTCAAATCAAATGATTTTTTTGTTTAAATTTGTTAATTTTTTCGTTGTCTATCCAATGGTATGCATGGTAGCATCCAATTTTGTTTAAAATGACCATTTTACCTCTAGTGGTCACTTTGTCCGTTTTAAACCCTAGCTCCGCAATTGTTTTCTTTTGAGTCTCATGACTTCTTGGGAAGTCACTTTGGCGTCTTAGAGGTGGTATTCACCTCTAGAGACTTCTTTTCTTTCGTTGCTTCCGCATTTGGGATTGGTTATCGGACCAGCTTCGGGTTACTCGCTGACACACCGGGTTCTTTAAAATTCGGGCCATCACAAATATACACACTAAAGACTCTCACTGGACTAAGGCAGACTCCACCGGATAGTGAGTATCTCATGCAAAGCGTACACAAAGTTGGTCACAAGTCCCCCTTCTACTAGGGCATACACATTCCTATATTGTAATACCCCTAATTTTAAAAGGATAGTATTGGGATTTATTTAATTGTTTTATTGTATTTTAATTTATTATTTGATTACGTGGCTAATTGTTTCTGTGTTTTAATTGAATTATTTGTTTAAATTGATTATGTGCTTAAATGATGTTTTTTAATTTAATTTATTCGTATGATTTTATTTGCTTAAATGATGTGTAATTATTTGTATTTAATTGTTAGGATTAAATGAATTAAATGTTTATTTTATTTTATCTTTAAAAGGAGTTGGATTTGGATAATAGTAATGGACCAACCAATTGGGTCACATGGACTACTTAGATAGTAGTCTTGATGGGTATGGATTTTTACCGATGGATAGTTGTACATATATATATGGGTATATACATACATATATATACACATACATACATATATATATAAGGTATTATATTCATTAGTATTATAAATAGTTAATATTCATAACTATAGTCAGTATTATATATATAGTTATAATGTTATATATATATAGTTATGTATTCATGTTAGTTTTTAGTAGACTTAGTATATATACATATATATATATATATATATGAATATATTTTGTTTTCCTTTTTCTTTTCTTATGAATTAAGGTAATTACATTTGTAGTAGGATTAGATTATAGGATTATATATATATAGTTTATGTGTTTGTGAAAGGGTTGAAAAACCCTATTCACGTAGACACAAGGAGAGGCAGAGAAGAGAAAACACAAAGGAGAGAAAAAAGAGGTTTTGGCTAAGGGACAAGGGCCGAACCAAGGATAGAAGGAAGGAGGTTGGTTATGGGTAAACTAGGATCAACAGATAGCTTCGAACGTAACCCAAAGGGTCGACAGGAAAAGCAAGGAAGAAGGAGATTAAGGTTTTCAATCCGAAACCTTAAGGCAAGTTCTTCTTCTATCTATTTCCCTTAGATCACGTGTTCTATACATGCTTAGGACAACTTCAGGACGATTAATTGGAAGTAATAAACCTGTTTGCATGCTTAAAAAGATTTTAAACATAGTGTGTGATTTAAACTGTTAAGGGTTTTCATGTAACTTGTATGATTTGATAATGAAGGTTGAATATGAATGGAAGCCTCAAGTATATAAGTTTTGTAAGAAAATGGATCATCTCGAGGCTATGTGTCCTTTGAACAAAGCTAAACCTCTCAAACTAACGGATAAGTGGGTGGTGAAGCCAAAGATCAAAGACCAGGAAATAAGGGATTTGGTTAGTATTCAAGAAGAAGATTTGCCAAAGGATGGGAATGAAGACTTAGAGGGTTTTACAGTTCAGAAAAAATCTAAAGGAAAGTCGAAGGTTGGGTAACCAGCATCCCAGACCATGATAATATCACCTAATGCTTTCCAAGTGCCTGATGAAATTCCTAATAAAGAGAAGGTTGTGAAGACTGGGCTTATAGTTATTGAGGAAGAGAAGAAAGATGAAGCGGACTCTATTTCTTCTACTCCATGTCAATTGGAGTTATTGGAAAATGCAGTTTCTTCTCAGGAAGTTATCAAGGAGACCGAAGAGAAAACAAGTTAGGAAGTTTGTAAAGAAGTGGATACAGTTTCTCCAGGAGGGGGAACTTCTTCTAAGAAACAGAAAAAAAAGAATAAAAAGAAAGAGGTTGAGGTTGATAATAGTGTGAGAATCACTAGAGGAATGTTAGCAGGTGGGGCTGTTCCACCAAGTTTGGTTTTTCAGTGATAAGGATGTGGAATGTTAGGGGCCTCAATAGGCAAATAATGCAGAAATAAGTTATGGCTTGGTTGAGTGGCTCCTCAATTTTTTTGTGTGGTTTGGTGGAAACTAGAGCAAACTTCTCAAAGTTTAATAAAATCAAGACTCGAATCAGGTATAGCTGGGAGTGGGTTAACAATTATAATGCTGATTTTGGTGGCCGTTTATGGTGTGGATGGGATTCTTTGAAAATTAGGGTGGCTGTTATTGTATCTAAGAATCAGCTGATTCATTTGAAAGTGAATGTTAAAGGGACTAATATTAAATTTTTTATGACTTTTGTTTATGCTAAAAACACTACTATGGAAAGAGTTCAGTTATAGAGGGATTTAGAAGATGTTACTCAAGGGGTTGATGGTCCATGGTTGTTATTGGGTGATTGGAATATTGTTAGGTTTAATAGTGAGAAAAAGGATGGAAGAATTCATCCTCCAAGGGTTTTTGCAGATTTTAATAATATAATTGATAAGTTGTGTTTATCTAATATGCCCGTGGCCAATGGAGTTTACACTTGGTGTAACAAGAGATTTAGCAGTAGGAGAATACATGCTAAACTAGACAGAGGTTTGATAAATGAGGAGTGGGCTTTGGCTTATCCCGAGTCTTATGAGTTACTGACCCCCCATTGACTTCAAATCATTGGGGTTTATGTATCAACCTGCTTATACAGATTGCTTCTAGACCTAAACCTTTCAGATTCTTACTGGTGTGGAACAAACAACCTATGGTAAAAGATATTGTGGCTGCTACTTGGGGTGCTCAGTTCAAGGGGAATTCAATTTCCAAATTGTTATACAAATTGAAACTTTGTAAAAAGGCTATGAGATAGTGGAATATTGAGAAATTTGGTTCAATCTATGAAGAAGTTATCTCATGCAGAGATAAATTGGCAGAGTTACAAGTTTTATTGGTTGCTGATCTTACAAATGTTGAGCTGATTAGGAAGGTGGATGAGTGTAGGTCTAACTTATAGGTTGCAGTTTCAAATGAATCTATTCTTTTAGCTCATAAATCAAGGGTTAATTGGTGAAAGAACAAAATAGATGTTCCAAGTTTTTCTATTATAAGATTAAACATCATAGAGCAAAGAGTAATTTGACAGTTATACATCAGGATGGGGTTTTGATCACTAATCCAGATGTGATTAGTAACTTGTTTGTGGCTCATTTTCAAAAGGCTTATTTAAGGGGTGGTGATAGCTTAATTGAACCTACTCAAAAGTATATTAGGAAACCTTTGCAGGAGGAAGAGGTGTGTATGTTAAAGGCTGAAGTTACAAAGGAAGAGGTGAAAAATACAATCTTTAAGATGGGATCTGATAGAGCTCTTGGTCCAGATGGATTTACAGCTAGATTCTTTCAACAATATTGGTCAATTGTTGGGGAGGATTTTACTGCAGTAATTATTCAATTTTTTAAAAATCCAGTCGTGGGTAAAGGCTCAAACAGTACTTTTATTACTCTGATCCAAAAAAAGAAGGATGCTAATCAGGTGATTGATTACAGACATACTTCTTTATGTATTGTGTTTTATAAAGTGGTTGCTAAAATTTTAGCTAATCGATTAGCTAAGGTTTTAGGGAGATTAGTTGGAAATGAATAATTAGCCTTCATACATGACAGAAGAATTCAAGATAATATCATCATAGCTAATGAGCTCATGAAAGGGTTTGGGGCTAAGAGGACTAGTCCAGCATTGGCTTGGAAAATTGATTTGAGAAAGGCTTATGACTCAGTGCAGTGGAACTTTTTGCTGAAGTTATTAAAGCTATTTGGCTTTGGGGATTAGTGGATAAGGTGGATTACGGAGTGTATTTCATCAATGTGATTCTCTATTCTCATTAATGGTACTCCACAAGGTTTCTTTCAACCAGAGAGGGTCTTAGGTAGGGGTGTCCTCTGTTCCCACTTCTTTTCACATAGGTTACTGATTATTTTTCTGGTATGATGGATTTGGAAGTTCAGAAAGGTAATGTGGTGTCTTCTCAAGCTGTTTTACAGGCTGGTTTACCTATTACTCATCAATTCTTTACAGATGATTTTTTTTTGTGATCAAAACAAATATGGGGAGTGTTTTAACTGTGAAAAAGTTGTTGACTCAATTCAAAAATACTACTGGTCTAGCTGTGAATAAAGATAAATCTGAAGTTTATCTTACTAGATTAATTAGAAGAAGGAATTCCATTATTAGGTCCTTGGGTTGTAAGGTAGGAAATTTACCTTTCACTTATTTAGGATTACCTATATCTAATAAAATACTGAGGAGAGTTGATTGTTTAAGTTTGGTAGATAAAATTATTTCCATTACTTCTAGATGGAATGGTCTTTATTTGTCTATGGCAGGTAGGGTGGAGCTTAGTAGAGCTGTTATTATTCCAATGGTTTAGTACTGGACATCAGTCTATGCTCTTCCTATTGCTGTCTCTAGTTGCATTGAAAGAAGAATGAGGAACTTTGTGTGGGGTCATGTTGAAAATACTAAAAAGATGTATGGTATGAGATGAAGAAGATTACTGCTCCCAAAGAGGAAGGGGGTTTGGGATTAAGAAGAATCGCAGATATTGATACTGCTGGGAAAATTAGTCCTGCTTGGGATTTTTTATTATCTAAGGATAGGTTGTTGGTGGCATGGTTTTCACATTGCTATTTAAAAAAGGCTTCTTATTGGAATGTGATTCCTAAAGTTGCTTCTTCAGCTGTTTGGAGGAGTATTATTGATGTTAGAGAGCTTCTGAAGGTTAATTGCAGATACATTATTAGAACTGGGCAGAATGTTAAAGTATTTATGGATCCATAGTGTGAAGGCAGGTTCTTGAGAGAACTTTTCAACCATAGGATTCTTGGGTACTTGAGTTGTGATAAGAAGATTAGTATGTGTGGTTTCATTATAGATGGTTAATGGGATGATGACAAACTGAGCAACATTACACAAGAGCTGATGTTGCTATTTAAAAATTAGTTAATAACAGGTGGGGTGGATCAGATTAAATGGATTCAAACTTTTTGTTTCAAGGTTGCATGGGAAGCTGCTAGAGTGAAATTGGAGGATGTGGTTTGGGCTGGTTAATGTTGGAGTGGGGGGAGTCTAAGATGGTCGGTTCATTCTATTTTGGTTATACAGAAAGCAATTGTAACTCAGAATTTTTTACAGAAAAGAGGTTTTAATATAGCAACAAGATGCTATCTATGCTATAGAGATGTTGAAACTTTGGATCATTTGTTCTATAATTGTGATTATACTTGGAAAGTACGGTTTTTTTTAGCTAAAATCTATGGATGGAATTTGCAGAGGGGTTTAGGAGTTCACGAATTAGCAACTCAGTTTATTCAAATTCAGTAACGAAAGGATGTTAAGAAGATGGCTAGAGTTATGCTTACTGTAACATTGTATTTCTTTTGGTGGGAAAGGAATAATTGTTTACATGATAAGCATGATAGAGTGGCTAAGGAGCTAGCTAAAAGTATACTATGGGAGGTTCTTGATGTGTTGGGGGTTAACCTGCAGGACATTTTGTAATTTTCTGTTGCTTTTAGTCTAGGTTATTTTTGTCCTTTTTTAGGACTTGGTTTATCTCCCTTATGAATGCATAATATACCTTTATATGCAATAGGATTGGACAATAGGGGATTTTTAATAAACTTCTATGTGGTTTAATGGATGCTTTGATTTATTTAATTATTTTAACAAGTTAAATAAAGTGTTTAAATGATTTTAATTATGCTTAAGAGGATTAGTATAATTTAATTAAGATGTAGGTTAATTACTTTTGATGTAAGTTAACTGCATGTTATTTAAAATGGTAAAGACTCGTTATATGGGTTGATTTGGGAGGATTAACTTTTGGTATCATTTCTTCCCGATCCCTGGGCACTCTTTTTGTAAAGGTAATCTTTGATCTCAAAAGGGTTGGAAGGATGATATGGTTGTGGTTGGGGGAGGTTGGATGGATGCCAATCGCGCCACTATCCCCACTAAGTTTAGGCAATGTGTCCCTTCTTTATATCCTCCTTATAAAAAATATAAGTTCGAATGTGTGTGTGAAATATGTCTTCCTTGCTTCTGTAGGTTCATTTACCGCTTTTTCGACGTATCATATGATCTTTTTGATTTCTCAATTTTATTGAGTAGACTCAGATACTTGAAATAGAGCGTATGGCACAGCATCCTCTATAGCATTTTCTTGTTAACTCCTGAATGACTTCAAGACATTGCCTCTAGAGGTGCATAGATAGCTCGTCTATAGATCCCCTCTTTTAGCAGACTTTCTCCTGTTACCCAAACTGGTTATGGTACCCAGACTTAGTAAGAGGCTAGGGCAATATAGCTTTCTGAGGCTCAACAAATTGTACATGGCAAGTCTTTTGGGAAGAGTCTTGCATCCGATCAAGGGGATGATGCCCCTAGGAGGAGACTCTTATCTGGTGGATTTACTATTGGCTTTGGTTCCTCAAATCAGAGTCTTCAGAATGTCGGCTCTAAGGATCCCGAGGTGCTCGTGAGCTCCTAGAGCCCAAAATTCTTTAAGCTAGATAACAAGGGGAACAACATCATAGTGACCCCGATGGACACCATATTCAAAAATG